AGCCCCTCTTTGGGTCTGTACTATGGTTGGAGCATTCTCTAACCAGTGGGGTGGATCAGTGCTTCAGGGAGAAGCCCCACAGGGGTGCAGCTGTGAGCCAGCACCTTCATGCTTCAGGGCATGAGACCAGCACTGACTGACCAAGGGTGAAGAGAAGCCTCTCTCCTATGCTGCCTATTCCATGACTGCCCACTGTAACAAGTGCTCATCCCAGGGGTGACCATGATGCCCTTTGCTCTTCCTTCAGTATGCTTCTCCTCTCCTGCCATGCCTTATTGTTCTTAGATCTTTTGAAAGGGAGGCTGCCTCAGGGATCCCCAATCCCTTGTTATTCAGGTGCTTGTACTTTGCCTTAAGGGCTTATACTGTGGCTCCTACCACCCCTTAAACCACACCCATGCCTGACAGATGTTATCAATCATGTTGATCATCAGCTGTCTTGGGCCATGGCCTCAGTCTCTAACCTTCAGTCTCCATACACTGTTCCCTGTTCTATTCTAAGCTATGGGCTCTCTTTTCCTATCTTCCAGGCCCCTCTATTCCCAGGCTTCTCTGTCCTTCCTCTGCCCTGTTCCCAGGGCTATTGGTACCTCCTCTTCTCCTTAGTCCTTCCTTAGTCCTTCCTTAGTCCCTTCCTAAAACCTCCAGAGCTGCTTACCCCCAGCTCAGATATTACCCAGCAGCTCCTTTTTCTATGGCTCTTAGGGATAGACTACCTGACCAGCTCAGGCCCTGGGCTTATATGCTTCAAGCCCATCCCCTTTCTGATCAAATGACTCTAACTGGCCCATGCCACATCTGCAAGCTGCTTTTCGTGCAGCCTCTTCCCTTCTTAAAGTAACAGGCATGCTAAGTGCCCTGTAACACTCACTACATATTTTCCTCTGAGGTAGCTGGAATTAGTTGTTGTCAAAAGCTGTACTGCATGGGCTAGTGCAGCTTGACACCAAGGTGAAATAGAGAGCTCAGTACTCCACCTTGTCTCTGTCTGATTTTAGTAGGGCATCACAGTATCTCTGCCTTAGGACTGTTGTACTATCTAACCAGGGCTCCCACTAGCAGATGTTCCTTAGATATGATTTGGGGCAACCTGGCCTACCACAAGCATGAGACACAGGGAAGGGGTCCAGAGTTGAGTCTGTTTTTGCAATTCTGTATTCTGCTGTTGCTGTTTCCTTCTCCATTGGCTCTGCAGCCTACAGACAGGCCTTTCAGTGCTAAGAAATGCCAAGGGCCTCTGGAAAGACCTGTCACTGATAAGGAGACCAACAGACAAAGACAAGAGTCAAAGGGAAATGAATGCAAAATCTCTGTACAAAAATAGTAGTGGGGGCTGTGACAAAGTTGAGAGAAACAGGCCAGGAACTCTTCCCCTACCAACCTATTGGAGCCTGGGGAGGATGTGAGAATGGAGGGACACTGTCAAGCTAAAATTAGAATTACGGTAAAAGGGTCAGGCAAACTTTCCATGGCTGCCTCTGCCAGAGATGGGGTTTGCCATGGGGTCAGGCCCCGAGAGACTCCTGGCTATTTTCCTGATGACACCGCACAGAATTTTTTTAAGCCACACCCTCCTTGCAATGCACACACTTGGCAGCTATTTGCTGACCTCACTCCATCTGGAGAGTGAAGTAAGATGGAGTATTATCAGGCCCAGTAAATCATGGATAAGCATAAGTTATTGCCTCAGTACAGGGGACTTGGGTGGAATGTAATGGCTTGTGATAGACAGCTTTAGGGCAGCTGATATAATGGGTCACTTTGGCTTTCACTTGTGTTTTTTTGTTTCCGAAACCTCTCTATGGGGCCTTGTCCTTTAAGAAGGGCAGATGAACTCTCTGGAGAGCAGTCTAAGTGGGCACACACAAGGTCCATATAACCAGAACGCTCCAGTAATGCATTAACCCTTGTCATTTCCTCCCAGACTCAGCCACAACACCTACTCCCATGCTGTATTCAGCCCTTGGTTACATGCCCACCTGACCTCCTGCTGCTGAGGGCTTCATGGCTCTTATCTTTAATATCCTCTCTACCTAGCATGCCTGTCCTTAGCTTTGTATGCAAGCAGGGGATATGTCTTGTGGGATGGACTCCACAGAATGATAGTGTTGTGTGTGCAGGGCTCCTGCACTGGTAACTTGCACAGGTGGAGTATCTCTAAGGCTCCACACAGAAATAGCATGTGGCATTTTCCTTGACAAGCACTCTTCATTGCCCCATGTGCCCTGGGAGCAGGGAATGTTACCTCCCCTGAGGAAAGAGAGGTGTGTTGACTTGCCCAAACTCAGATCCCAGGCGGCCAGGCATCCAGCACTGATGCCATTGCTATCCTTCATTGCCTCTGATTCAGTTTACTTGGGAAGAACAAAGACATTTTTCTCCCTCTCTGTTCTTTAGGTACAAACTGGCTGTCACCAAGCGGAAGGAAGACGAGCCAAGAAGCACCAGCATCTACAACCAGAATGACCCTTGGAAGCCCACTGTGGCTTTTGCAGATTTTGTGGACAATGAAACCATCACAAATGAGGTGAGTAAGGTCTTCTCTGTGCTGCAGGCAACAGCATTTTGCTGGGGGGGTGTGGAGGTCATGTACACCTGCATGCACATACCTCATTTACTCAAATATAAGGTGACCCTGATTATAAGATGACTCCCCAATAATTAGATTCTGAATAAGGAAAATGTATAAATTTGGTATAATTTTCCAGGTATAGAATCTAATTATTGGAGGCTTGTCTTGAATTTGTCCCCTTCCCACTGCTACAGCAGGGAAAATAAATGCTGCCGGGAGGTCAGGTAGCAACTTTGCCCTCTGCCCCACCCCAATTTCTTTCCCTTGCAACCGTTTCCCCACTCCTTACTGTCAGACCCTGCTTTCCCTGAGCACATGAAAGTGAGGAATGAATTTGAAAAAAAAAATGACCTTAAAAGAAACATAGCTGTGGTAATTTGCATATAGTACCTGTACACTTAGCTGACCCAGAAATGATGCATTTTACTTTTTTTTAAATTGCTGCAGGCTTCTGCACAGGTACTCCATAAACACATTTTTAAGGAGCACCTACTCCAACACCTACACCTACTTCTGGAACCAATTTCCAAGAGAAGTGGTGCTGGCTCCTACCCTGGGGGTCTTTAGGAGGAGGCTGAATGAACACCTCGCTGGGGTCATTTGACCCCAGTACTCTTTCTTTTCATGGCAGGGGGTTGGACTTGATGATCTGCTCAGGTCCCTCCCAACCCTACCAACTATGAAACTACTGAGAGAGAATATAAACTTGGGGGGGGGATTTTTTTGTGCACTGAGAGAATACAAAATTAAAAAAAAAAAAATCAAGGCCAAATCAGTTCCAAATTCAATTGGGCAAAGCCCAATAGTCAAGTTTCAAAATTCCCCAAATCCAAGCAGGCATCCTACATGCAAGCCCCAAGCCTGGAGGCCTTGGGGTTCAGATGCGCCCTGTCTCCCTAACTTCTGATCAGCATTTTTCTCCCATATGGGTATTTTATAGTCATCCTCAGTGTTGCCTGCATTTAATCAACTTCATAGCTGGTTTCTATTACTGAGTATATTCTGCTTTTGGCAGTAATTCAAGGATAGGCAATGTATTTAGTGTGGTTTCCTTATATGCAAATATAAAAATAAAGACTTTTTTTCCCTGTGCTTGTTGGGGAAGAAAACCTTATCTTACATTTGAGTAAATATGGTGGTAGTAGTAGTAGACAACCATTGATCCTTCTGGATCAAGATGTATGCATGAGAGGTCACCCAGACCATTGATGTGCAGGCCTAGGCAGGAGTATGGAGGCTGCCCAGAACTTCCATCCTCCCTTTAGGCCATTGAGACAGAATCCAAAGGTCAGGCTGAGTCCAGACATTCAGTGCCTCAACAGCTGTAGTTGTAGCCACCTCTGAGAATCAGAACCAGGTCTCCTGCATGCCAGACAAGGTTTCTACCACCAAACCTCAGGGGACTCCAAGTAAATATGGGACATATGTCCAAACACAGCATCCCTCCTGGGTCACATCCCAGCCAGCAGGGATTTTCCCTTACTCTTGGCTAATACTCAAGCACTTACTGGCCTGTTGCAGGCCCTGATATCAGTCATTGCTCAGCATCTGCATTTAGGGTAATATTGACAGGGAGTGGGATTGGGTCCACTAAAGTCTGCCCAACGTGTGGTATCCTAGCTAGGAGTTCTCCTGGCATCACCCACTGACCTCTCCCTTTTTCTCTCTCTTCCAATTGCAGGATCTGGTTGCCTGGGTTTCTGTTGGTTTCCTGCATGTCCCACATGCTGAGGATATCCCCAACACAGTGACCGTGGGGAATGGAGTTGGCTTTCTTCTGAGACCCTACAACTATTTTGATGAAGATCCCTCACGTGACTCATCTGACAGTGTCTACTTCAGGGCTGACCAGGACCCAAGCAAGTGTGAAGTCAATCATGTGGCCTGTCTGTCAAAAACTGCCTCATGTTCACCAGCCCTGCCCCCGTTCACCTATAGCGGCTTCCAGAACCTGAGCAGTGTCTGAGCCACAGTCTGCAGGGACTCCCTTGATGCACACTGGTGACTGTTCACAAGGCATCTGTGCTCATGTTTCCATTGTAAGCAGCATAAGGGCATGTAATAACCCTTGGGTTCACTGATGCCTGTTGATTTGTATGAGGTTTATACTTAGCAGATGAAGTATACAGCTTGCAAAAGCTTCAATGAGAGAGGGTTTATGCATACTCTTTCTCTCTTTCCCCCCCACTGTTTCTCAAAGATAAATTGGCTTATTTTGTTGCTCGACTGAAATCAATTAGAGCAGAGGTGTCAAAAATATCTGGCCCTGTGGGCCCTATGAGGGTCACTGGGCCAGTCTGTGGGCTGGATCGGGACCATGCACTGGAGCTAACACTCAGGTCAGTCGAGCATTGGCACCTCATGCAGCGTGCTGGCACCAGGTCCAGCCCATGCACCAGACTGGTTCTGCAAGCCACATGCAGCGCATAAAATCAATCCAAGACTCACAGGCTGGATTGTAGGGGTCCACCATCTGGATCCAGCCTATGGGCTGTATGTTTGACACCCCAAATTACAGTAGCTTTCTCATAAGCAAAGCCCTGAGAACATGCTGTAAAGAGCCATTCCCTGTTAGCTAGGCCTGGACAAGCTGGGGTCCCTCAATGTGTTTTCTTGCTCAGAAATTTTCCTGCAATCCCCGGTTTCCTAAGCACACGAAAGGTCAGACTTTCAAAGGAGTTCAGATCCCATTTTGACACTTACACAAACTGCTCAGCTTAAGTGGGGGCTGAATTTTCTCTGAAAATCCAGTGGGGAGAGAGCAGCTTGGCCAAGTGACCATGTATAAAGGGCAGCATGGTACTTCTGAGCATACTGTGCTTTGGAGGAGAACTCATCCCCATAGAATGCAGCCACAAAACTGTCCAAGGGGCCAGTGACTATCCTCTTAAAGGACTGGAGGAGCACAATGGCACAGTGCATGCTGGAACCTGTCAGCTCCACAGGATATGCCTCTGTAGTGATCAAGAAAAAGGATAATCCACTATATGCAGCATAGCAAGCCCTCCCCTGCCCCTGGTTGCTGCCTGTGTTTGTTCTGAATTTGACATTTCCCTGGCCTTCCTCTCAGATTGAGCTCTCGGTTCCACAGCTTCCAGCCACATTAAGACCCATCACAGGATCACAGTCTATTAAAAGTGTGCAGAGGAAGCTGTTCAGTCTCACTAGGTAGAGCTTGATGCAGCCTTCACTAGCGGGATTTACAGGCCCAGGAGCTCCAGCCAGCTGCTGGCTCAGGCCCATCATTTACAACCCATGATGTTTCTGTACTAGCCCATGATCTAGCTTTTGGTTTGCTATGGTATACTTCTGACAAAATATTACAGCTTTTAGTCCATTTATCTGTATTCAATAATTACACATGCGCCACGTTATAGCAAGCAGGGAAGAAGCACCTTTATTACTAAATCTAGGGTATCTAACTACTAATTCAACAAAGGGTAAGCCACAGCAGGGTTGTTTAGGAGTAGCTTCTCAAGATACATATGTGCTGCATTCAGAGGTGTGATTACAGCAAGCACAGGCAATTCCATGTCAGCTTTAACACAGCTATCACAAGTAACTACAGCAGGAAAGCTGTACAGCATAGGCTGCACAGCTTCCTGGAAACTCTGGCATGCGCTCAGCAGCTGGCCCACACTGAAGCCTATGCCCTGAGTCTTTGCTGCTGGTTTCCCATGCTAGCGAGTTCAAAGCCAATATGGAGTGTGTCTATGTTGGCTGCCAGCACACCTTCAGCTGCAGTAGAGACATGGCCAACCACTACTTCTGGAGGTCGGTGAGGGATCTTTGGGGAAGAAATTTGGTCCCATATACCAGGGTACATTATATGAGGCAAAAAGTATGGTTCTGTCCCCAGCCCTGCTAATGACTCACTGGGCACGTCTACATGAGACACTATGTTGGCGTAGCGATGAGTTACGGTGATGTTGCATCAGCAGGCATCAACCATGATGCTGACACTACTGCGTAGTAGTGTCAGAAACAACTCATGTGGCACCAGGACTGTGCAGTAATGGTGGTTACTGCGCAGTCCAGTGCACGTGTCAATGCAGTAAATGCTCCCAGGCAAGCATCTACATGTGTAGAGAAGCAGGAGCCGATTTGCTGCTAATGGAAGCAAACTGCTCCCACTTCCTTGGGCACTGCAATGGGCCCCTACCACCACCTCGGGGAGTTCTAGGCTTCCCCCTGCATGCTAGCTCAGGGGCTGGCAGGAAGCACCAGACTAGGAGAGAGTTGTCTCCTGGTGAGGGCTGGGACATGACTCCCTGCCCCCAGGGGTCTGTCTGCTGCCAGGGTAGGGACAATGTTTCCCTCCCTGCCTTGGCAGCAGGAAACTCCTTGCCCTGGCTCCCCAATCAGGGCAGGGGACTTGGAAAGAACTGCAGAGGAGGGGTAGGTACCAGCCCCCTGCCCTGATCTGCTGGTGGGGCAGCAAGCAGCAGGGCTGGTGCTGGGTAATCCTTATCTCCCAGTGCAAGCTCTGTGGTTACATGGCTGGCACTGGGAGATAAGGATCTCCTAGTGCCAGCTCTGTAGTCGTGATTTCAGAGCAGGGGGCTTGGAGTTCCCTGTTGCTGGGGCAGAGAGACATAGTCCCTCTTCCGGAGCCCCCCAGCAGCCGGCAGCTCCTGGGGCAGGGAGCAATCTCCCTGCTACTGTGCAGTTAATAACTGCAAGTAAATTTGGTACTTGCATTTGCAGTTAGCAAATTTACTCATGATTAGCAAGGTTTACTGCTCAGTAAGCATGTGAAAGTGTAGATGCACATGCATGCTGCTTAGTAAACTATACTATTTTGCAGTAAAGTGTCTTGTGTAGATGCATCCACTGTGTCTTTGGATGAGTTCCTGCTCCCTGCATCCACGTTCTTGTTTTCCCAGCTGTAAAAGGGGACTGATAATCCCAACTCTCTGTTGAAATATTTTTTGAGATCAGTGAAAGAAGGGGCTGTGGTGTCTTGAGAGGGGTACAGGACTAGCATGAAGCTGGGGTTCTGATGTATGCCTTCTGTGCGGGATAAATGGAGTGCCAGGTGGCAGGAGAGGATATGCCACGTACTAGCTTTCAGCAGGCTCCAGATATGTTCCTATAGGCTGACTGGCAGAGGAAATGTCCAGGAGGGGCCTCAACAGCCCCTGCAGTTTAGGCTGTGCCCTTTCTGCTTGCCCACTGAGACGCAGTGGTCTCTCCCCACAGCAGGACATCAGGCAGGCGCTGTATCCCAAACTATGTCTGGGTTTGGGGAGAGCCATTTTCCAGATGCTGCCTGCAGAGAGAAAACAATTTTGTGATTTTCTGCCAGCTGGCCTGGTGGAATTTGCTGTGGGGCCCAGGGGATCTTCATTCTCTGGGCCAAGAATGTAGTTCCCTGACTATAAACAGATATTTGAGTGCTTCTTAAAGCCAGACTCATGTTTGATCCACTCTTCAGAGATGACCAGAAGCATACCCCAGCACCAAACACTCCCTGCTTTAGGTATACTCTGACTGGGCTCTGGATGTCTGTCTTAGTTCTGACTCCCCAAACCCAGGAACTAGGATGCCTGTTTGTTACTAACAGGTTGTGGTGCAGCTTTGATTCAAGAGTACCTGTGGAGCAGCACAGAGGGGATAAGAAAGTTAATGGGATGCTAAATTCCATCCCTAATATAAGCTATCTTGGAGGGGAAGGTCTGAGGCTGAATGCCCAGGTGGTGCCTTCAGCTTCTCCCAGAGTGACAGGCCTAGTTAGCTGGGAAGGGTCCACCTCTGGGCCTGGAGCCCCTTCATTACATCCTCTCTCATGCACAGAGGTACATGGGAGCATGCTCAGGAACTCTGCCCAAGCTGCGGAGGAAGGAAGTGGGTATGTGCAGGCACACTACTAGTCACAGACAGAAGTGACAATTTTCACCTGATCTGACCCCTGAAAGTGCTCTACAGCTGTGGCCAAACACAAGTGCATGGCTGCAGAGCATTTTAAAAGAACCTGATCCCACAACAATCTGAACCCTCATTACACAAGGGTTCAAATGAAGGCACTTCATTAATTTATGTCTACACATGCCAGGAGCAGGGCTCAGCTGACACAGCCCAGCACTGCTCCCAGCACTGTTTTTAGACCAGGAGGGGGAGAAGGGAGCAATGCTGATTCTGGGGGTTGCCCAGCCAGTGACAGAGGGTGGGGTGT